AAGCTTCGGCGATGCATCGGCGCCGTCGGCGCGGGAAGCACCGGGCTCCACATCGGGCAGCATCGGCGATGCATTGGCGGTGCGGCGCGATCCTCTGACACCATCTGCTCGGACCCCATGCTGGAGGCACGGATCACTTGAGCAGGGACCGACCGTCCCGGCATCCCCATAGGCGTACCACGACATGTACTTAGAACCCACAAATTTTCTAAGAACAACAACAATGTCCTTAGAACATGACCCCGACGTGATAAAAAAAAAAAAACAAGACAGTCCCAGCCAGAGATGTTCTAAGAACATTTTACGTGCAGACCACGAAAAGGTTCTTAGGACATGATTTGGTGGGCCCATGGGCGAACCAGCACGCTTCGCAGCTGCTTGAGTCACTGGACCCTGGCGGTCCATTGGAGGGCTGCTGGCCAGGGCCCCAGTGGTACCCCACTGGTTCCCAGCGACCTCGGCCTGCCGTATTGGAGCGGCATGTCGGCGGCGGCCGCCGTCGCCGGCCTGCCGCTGCTGACCAGGGTCTTGCGGTATCTCCAACCGGCCTTCATCGACCCCGTGGGCGCGCGGGCATTGACCCTGTCACGTGGCCAAGGGGGTCAGCATCACCATCATCAAGCTCACAATCACAACCATCGTCATCATTATCATCACCACCATCGTCATCATCATCATCATCATCATCATCATCATCATCATCATCATCATCATCATCACCATCACCATCACCATCACCATCACCATCATCATCATCATCATCATCTGCAACAGCCCACTGCCGCTACGACTACCATTAGCAATAGCAGCACCACAATCATCAGTATCACCATAAACATAATCATCAAAATCGGTATCATATTCATCATCGTCGTCATTGCCATCGTGTTCCTGAGTCTCGGGGGTTGTGCATGGACGAGCTTCGCGCCCAGACCGTGTCATCACCATCACACGTTTGCCATATGATGTCATCTTCGCACTCACACCATCTCGTAAAATAGCATGTCAGGGCAAACCAGATCAGAACATGTAATATCGTAACGGATAATGGCAGGTCATCTCTTATCATGTCGTGCCATTTCATACCATGTCATGTCATGCCTTATCAGATCCGAACCCTTACCGTCCCCCGCCTCATCCTCGACTTCATCATCATCATCATCAGCAGCAGCATCATCATCACCACCATCACCATCACCATCACCATCACCATCATCGACATCAGCATCATCATCATCATCATCATCATCATCATCATCATCATCATCATCATCATCATCATCATCAGCATCACCATCATCGTCATCCGTATCATATTCATCATAATCGTCGTCGTCATCAACAGCAGCAGCAGCAACATCATCATCAATAGCAGCATAATCATCACCATCAGCACCATCATCATCAGCAGTATCATCCTCATCATCATCACCATCATGAGCATCAGCATCATCATGTTCAGCATCATCTGCATCATCATCAGCAGCACCATTTGCATCGCCACCACCATCCTCATCATCGTTGTTTTTGTTGTCGTCGTCATCGTCATCGTCGTCGTCACCATCGTCACCGTCATAATCGTCATTGTCGTCATCGTCCTCGTCGTCGTTGTCGTCATCGTCATCATGACAACAGACATATCCAATAAGATGGGGTTCGGGGCTGGCCTGTGCCGAACGACAAGCACTGCCCCCGTATCGACGACATGCAGGGCTACGCAAGAGGCAATTGTCCACCTTCCTGTGCAGTACTGACTTGATATCGCGGCGCCCCAACACAGTAGCTGCTCAACCCACATAGTCTTCGCACCAAGCACGCGAAAGATGTTCTAAAGCAAGGTGTCAACATGCTGGCACAAAGGCACAATACGGCAGGAACGTAGGTGCGCGAATATGCTGCGCCCAGTTGAACAACCTGCAGGACCCCCCCCCCCCCCAAAAAAAAAAGAAAACAAACAAAACATAACTGAGAAGTAGCCAACACGCTCGTCTTGCTTCTTCTTCGTATGGATCTGGCTGACCTGTACGAGGCCACGTCCTTCGCTGGTCCATCCTTCGAGACTCGGTTGTTTGAAACGGCCGCCCTCTCTCTCTCTCTCTCGCGCGCACTCTCCTCCCGCTCCAGAGCGGTGGCGACGCCCGGCTTCAGGCCCCAGGGGCCCTGCCCTGCCTGGCCCGCACGGCCCCGCGCAGCGCCGCCGGCCGGGTCGCCGGCCGGGGCGCGGCGGGCTCCGCACACGGGAGGGCCCCCGGGGCGCGACCGGCGCTCCGCTGCAGCGGCACCCGGGCGCCGCCCGAGGCCCAGGCGGCGACCGCCGCCAGCGCCGCACTGCCGCGCGCCAGGCGCGCAGGCCGCGCGGCGGCCAGGGCGCCGCCCGCGAGCCTCGCGGGCGGCAGGCGGCCCGCCGCGCGGCGCACGGGCATCGACCGAGCAGCGGGGGCCCCGGCACCGGCAGCGGCGGCATCTGCAGCGCCAGAGCTGCCGCCCGAGACGGGCGGCTCGGCGGAGAGCTCCACTGTGACGGGGCCGTCGTTGGTGAGGCTCACCTGCATGTCCGCGCCGAAGACGCCCGTCGCAACGCGCCCCGGGTCTCCAAGCTCGGAGCGGCACTCCTCCACGAATGCCTCGTACAGCTCGCGGGCCTCATCGCCGCCCATGGCGGCATTGTAGTTCGGCTTCGGTTTCTTGAACGTCGCGAAGAGGGTGAACTGGCTGACAACAAGAAGCTCGAACTCGCGGGTCAGCACCGAGGATGCCCACGGCTGCGTCTCCTCCGTCAGGCCTGGCCAGAGCCGCAGCTTCACCACTTTCCTGGCCAGCTGCTCTGCCTGCTGGCGGCCGTCGCCCTTCTTGATGCCCAAGAGTAGAAGGAGCCCTCGGCCAATGCTGGCCACCTGCCGGCCCTCCACATCGACAGACGCGCGCAGCACTCGCTGGATCACCAGCTTCATTCTGAGGCCCGCATGATCACTGAGAGCCTGCAGGGGTAGGGTGGGGGGCGGGGGCAGCGCCTGAGCCCATTCCCCAGCAGGAGAAGAAGGGGGAAGGGATGGGGGGGGGGTCCGACGATGTGGCTAAACGGCACCCTCCGGCCGCAAGTCCCGAACTGCACTCTGCTCAGGACAAGTCGCGGCGCGAAGCCGGCCACCTGCGACCGTGCCTTCTCCACCCGGGGCCCCCTGAACATTGGATTTAGGTCGGGCGTGTCCTCCTACAGGGGGATGTTGGACGAGAAATTGTTAAGAAGACCCCCAGACATGCCGAAACAGATGCATCAATGGTCAAAACATGGTCCCTGGACCATGGTTCTACTATTTTTTTGAACACTCCTCCTGTACAGTCGGGGCGTTGACCTGAGGAACCCTAAATAAGGAACGAGTCCCCTTTTTCTCATAAGTTAAACATCGATGTCCCATTGAAAACCTCAGGAAGACTTGAGGCAAACTGTTAAACAATCAAGGAACACCGAGCCCCTCCCCAACGAAAAGGGTTCCTTCTTCAGCGCCCCGACTGTAGGGGGACAGGCCCGACTTCATGTTGCATGGCCGAGTCCAGGTGAGCGACGATCGGGGACGGGTCTGACGCGAGATTGGCACAGCAACCTCACGCCGCACCGTACGCGGGGCCGCCCGCGCAGCACGCTGCATTGGGGCGACGAGGGCGCTCGCGCGCGGCCTCTCACGCGGGCAGCGTACGCGCCGACGTCGGCGCCAACGACCCCGCTGTTTTGTTTGCGTCGCTCGCCGTCGACCGTGCCGTCTCCACCCCGGGGCCCCCCGACGATTGCGGCTGAAGATTGTCGCTCCGCAGGCCAAAAACAACGCATTTTGGCCCGTGGAGCCTCTGCTTGGCCTTGCGCGTTCGGGCTTCTGCCTCGCGCGTAATCTCCGCGAGCATTTGGTGGTCGGGCCCAGGTGGAGAGGACCCTCTTCTGAGGAACGAACGGGACCGAACGGGCGTCCACCTAGGCTCGGAAGTAGTTCGCCGTGGTCGTCGTCGCGGTCGTCGTCGTCGTCCTCCTCCTCCTCCTCCTCCTCCTCCTCCTCCTCCTCCTCCTCCTCCTGGGTCGGCGGCACTGGCCGTAAGGCCTTCACAACACCAATATTGCATGGGCGAGTCCAGGTGGAGAGGACCCTCGTCTGAGGAACGGATGGGGCCGAACGGGCGTTCACCTGGGCTCGGAAGTGCTACTGCTGCGCACTGCTGCAGGCAGGGCCGCGGCCTTGCGGGCGGCAGCGGGTATGAGAAACAGGGTGTCCCCCAGAGTCCCTCATCTTCGAGAGGAGGGAAAGAAGGATGGCAGAGCAATTCGAACGCAGTCAGGCAGTCTCCGAACCTCAGGGGGGGGAGTAGGAGGAGGAGGAGGAGGAGGAGGAGGAGGAGGAGGAAGACGAGGAGGAGGAGGAGGAGGAGGAGGAGGAAGACGAGGAGGCGCAACTGGAGCTTGAACCGAGGAGGAGGAGGAGGAGGAGGAGGAGGAGGAGGAGCAATCTACTGGCACCCTCCTGCGACTAAGAATAGGAGAAGGATGCAGTCGGGCGGCGGGCGGCGGCCCTCTGGCCCTCTAGGCAGCCTCAGCGGCCAGAGACGGGAGGCCGTAACGCGCCCCGCAGAAACGACAAGGGAGCAGTGAGCTGTGGACTGGGCAGATCCCCGCCCCCTGGCCGCTCCTCCTGCCGCTGCTACTGCTCCACGTCCTCCTCCGTCTCCCCCAACATCCTCTTGACATACCGCCTGCCCCCTCGTGCTCCTGCTCTGGCTGTCCTCCTCTACTCCTCCTCGCCCTCGTCTTCTTCCTCCTCATAAGAGTGTTGCTGTTGTCTGCCCGTCCACCGCATCCTTCTCATCCCTTTGCTTCTGAACAGAGAAGGTATGTGTTTTCTCCGATCGGCGTCTGCACGATCGGCCGTGCCAGCCCAAACGCAGTGGAGGCGTGCAATGAAGGAAGGGTGATCCATCCCGTCAAGCTGCCTTGGACGCGCTGGTGCACTCCTCGCTTA